TTTTTTTTCCTTTTAGGATAAAGATTCTACGTGAATAAACAAAAATTGACCATTGTAAGCGACCCTGCCAGTGTTAAATGGTTTGTCTCATTCTTGTAAACTGATAAGTCTGGAAGAGAGCTTGTTCTTTTTAAAACAACATACTTACTGGCTGGACCACTAGATGAAAACAGAAGAAAGAAAGCCTAAAAGGGAAAATAAATGCAGCCAACATATCTAATAATTGATAAGCTGCACTATAGGTTTGCTTTTTGGTTTAATACTACTTAAAAGAACTCTGCTTCAAATCCCTTTAAAAGCAACACCAAGGGTTTCTGCCAAGCCTCCCCACCACTTGTCTTCTCCAAAGTTACAATCAGTTCCATATTTTGGAACATTTTATTTAGACTTCCCAAACTAAAGAAATTATTAGCAAATAGCAAAATGGTGTGCAAAGTGCAATAGCCCAAATGAGCCAATCATCTTTATTTATTGTAATCAGATTAATGAAAGACGAAGCTTGATTGGTTTCTTTGGCTTAAAGCACTTGCCAGTATCTTTAGTTTGCCTTTGTAAGCTTGAAAGTCTCTCTATTCCAGTAAAACAGAGCTCATAGGAGTGCCATTTCACCAGCTATCGTGCAATCCTTCCCAGCAGAAAAAGCAGGGAAAGGGAGGAACCCTGTGTGTTGCTACAAAGAAGGGTCTCAAACAGGGGTCTACTTGGTTTTAAAGTAGAACACCACTCTGAGCAGGGAGCCCAACTCTTTACATGCTACTGATGGGAGGCAACAAATGTAAGACCTGCCATTGATCTGGAAACTCCACAGTTCCCAACACAGGTTTATATCTCATCATTGAATCTACAAAACGTTTTCCTGGATCCCCCCTGAGCACCTCTGCACTATCTAACAGGGGCATATTTATAAAGCAGCAATTCTCCAATCATTCACTGTTTTTTTGCAAATAGAATGCCTATAGAAAGACCTGCAGCATTTTTAAAAAACACATTTCCCTGATCAAGTCACATGCGCTGCCATCCACCAACATCTGGATTTCCCATTCTTTAATAAAGATCTCTGTAACAATTGCCATAGTTATTATTGGCCCAAGTCATCATTCACGATTGCATTAAACATTTAATGTTTTCAAAAAGCGTATCATTGATTCTACCAACACCATTGATTTCTATATGGACCGGTTTTGCTCAATCCTCACTGCACACTTTCATTATACATTCACCATACTACAAATGAGGACTACATCTTTCTAGTTTATTTCATAATCTGCATAGGCTAACATAAACCCTCTTGACTCAGTGCAGAATTATAATGATCATGAATCTATAGGCCCAATTCTAGAGAATTGGTCAGTGAATGAGGTCATATCCAGGCACATTTGATTTTTGTTTTATATAAATATGCCCCTTAGTCAAGGAGGAATGTGTGCTGTCCCACATAAAGCAATCAGCAGTCATCTCTCATTGTCCTGACTACTGCAGAATGATGAAAGACATATTCTGATTGGCTTTCCTGAGCAAATTCACACAAGTACTCTTTGTACTACAATATTTTCAAAGAATGATACCATTTGATGTCTACTCTATAGAGTCAATCCAATAACATTTTTAAATCGGCTTGACAGTGTGAGCAGAAGGTTAAGCAGTCACCAAGCTGTGAATAATGCATGTCATTCAGTGCGTTCCTACGTCTTTCTGTAATACAAAAACAACGTGTACCTTTCTGGCAATTAGAACCCACATCCACTGCTTTTCTGTGCATGGCTGGTCTGAATGATCTAGTGCAATGGACATCAGACCTCCACAGCCTAGGAAACCTCCTGCTTCATTCTGTGAACTAGATCTACAATTTATCACAGCAGTTAGTCAGGCACCTGACAGAAGTCTATGGCTTGTATGCTTGTTTTTAATTTTTTATGTTGAAGTACAAAACTTCAGTTAAAGGCACAAAGGAGTTTACCATCATAGCATCCCCAGCAGATGTGTATGGTAGTAAACGCATCCTAAGTACCTCACTCTGTGGTTTCAGGTTCCAGAGTGCCTTATTGCCTGCAGGAGCAAAGTGATTAAAGCGTACGTCAGACAGAATAACATAGATCTCAGGCACTTGCGATATAACTAATAGATAACAAGATGTAATGTGAAGGGAGGTTAATTCATTGCGTCTGTTTCCAGAACTCTGTCCCACTCCAGGAGTTTCTAGCAAATTGATATCTAGGAGTTTATTGATTATCCTGTAAAGGATGGAAGTAGTCTTTCTACTGACAAAGGCTTCTGCCAGAGACTGGTTGCAGAATGCTGAGTCTTGCATCCAATGAAGTCAAAAACACAATTACAGCAGCAAATCCTCCAACTTTTTTTTCAAGGAATCGGGAAAGTTCCTTTGTCGCCAATCAAGGATCTGATCTTCCCAGAAAAGTCTACAGAAGTGCTACAGTGCACTAGGCTAGAGTGCAAATTTCCTCGTACAGAAAAAATTGCAGGTTGCATTCCACAATGGACAAGACAGGCTGATGATGAAAACAAGCAAAATGGGTCCACAGGAGAGCACAGCTGAGATTATTCATTAGCTGCCAAGAATAACCTACAGTAAAACTGCAGTCAGGAGGCTAGAGGTAAGTATGTAAATCAAAGAGTGCAAAAAGAGCTACTACCTAGATTCCTCTCTTGAAATCAAGAAGTATGCAACAGAGTATTGTAGAGACATGGAAGCTGCAAGGTAAACGGTGTATGTAGTAGGAGCATTTCCACTGCAGCACAGAACTTGGACAAACAGACATGAAGAGAGGACTGCACAAAATGAATGGTTAGATTAGGCCTTGTAGGTAAAGAAAGCTCTTACTAAAGATGAAAGCTTTGTGAGTAGTCATGGATCCCAAGGCTTAAACCAGGACTGTTTCTTCTTTCCATGCCTACCGGCTTCTGTTTGTTATTACATCAAAACTGTAAAAATGTCAGGTTTGCTGCATTGTATACAACAGAATAGGTCTGGCCCTTCGGTTGCTGGTCTGGTTAAGCTGATCCACCAGCCAGATGAGAAGCGTTCCTTTAATGGAGGCTTTTACCTGCAACCTTGATGAATAATAGAGGTAAGTTAACCTGTGTGTGTCCAGCTTAAAATCCATGGATAGAGAGCAGTGGGACACGATGGAAGCTGTAAAGCCGCAGGTTGTCCAAGGCTGGAAGAGGAGTTATTAATTAAATGAATTATGGGGCACTGGAGGATAATGGGATATTCAAGCACACTAAAGGACAATATAGGGAATATGGTTACAGCATGGAGAGGAACAAAAGACAATTTATACAGAGCAAGGGAAGAGGAACCGTTGATGAATATGAAATACGGAGCACTGGAGGCCAACGGGAGGATTGAGGGCAATATGGTTGAATATGGTTACAGCATGGAGAGGAGCAGAAGAGAAAACACAGAGAAAGGGCTAGGAGTCATTATGAATATAATTTTTGGGAAAATGGGAGGATTGGGGACACCACAGGACCATAATTGGGGATATGATTACAGCACAGAGAGGAGCAGAAGACAAAACAGGGCAAGGGAAGAGACACCATTAATAAATGTGAACTTTGATGCACTGGAGGCCAGTGAAAGAATTGGGGACACCATAGGACAATAATGGAGCATACGGTTACAGCATGGAGAGAAACAGAAGACAAAACAGGACAAGGGAAGGGGGGTAATTCATGAATATGAACTATGGGTCACTGGGGGGGATTGGGGGCACCATAGGACTATATCAGGGGATATGGTCACACCATAAGGAAATAATAGGGCATATGGTTGTAACTTTGAGAGAAGCAGAAGATAAAACATGTCAAGGGAAGGGGATTCATTAATGAATAGGAACTAAGGGGCACTGGGGGGCATTGGAAGAATTGGGAACACCATAGGACAATAATGGGAGATATGGTCACATTATAAGGCAATAATGGGGGATATGGTTATAACTTTGAGATGAGTAGAAGATAAAACAAAACAAGGGAAGAGGAGTCATTAATATATATGAACTGTGGGGCAATGGAAGGATTTGGGACACCGTGGGGCAATAATGGGAGATATGGGTATAACTTGAGAGGAGCAGAAGATAAAACAAGACAAGGGAAGGGGAGTCATTAATAAATATGAACTGTGGGGCACTGGAAAGATTGGGGACACAGTGGAACAATTATGGGGGATATGGTCACAGCATGGAGAGAAGCAGAGGATAAAATGGGACAAAAGGAGAGAAGCCATTAATGAATATGAACTATTGGGGCAATGGGAAGATTGGGGACACCACTGGACAGTAATGGGGGATATGGTCACGGAATGGTGAGGAGCAAAGGATAAAACAGGACAAGAGGAGAAGAGTCATTAATGAATATGAACTATTGGGGCAATGGGAAGTTTGGGGACACCAATGGACAATCATGGGGGATATGGTCACAGCATGGTGAGGAGCAGAAGATATAACAGGACAAGAGGGGAGTTATAATGAATATGAACTATTGGGGGAAACGGGAAAATTGGGGACACCACCGGGCAATAATGGGGGATATGGTCACACCATGGTGAGGAGCAGAAAATAAAACAAGAGGGGAGTCATAATGAATATGATCTATTGGAGGCAATGGGAAGATTGGGGACACCACCGGGCAATAATGGGGGATATAGTCACAGCATGGTGAGGAGCAGAAGATAAAACAGGACAAGAGGGGAGCCATACTAAATATGAACTATTGGGGGCAATGGGAAGATTGGGGACACCAGCAGACAGTCATGGGGGATATGGTCACAGCATGTTGAGGAGCAGAAGATAAAACAAGTCAAGAGGAGAGGAGTCATTAATGAATATAAACTATGAGGCACTGGAGGATAACTAGATGGATGGGGAGACCATAGGGCAGTAGTTGGTGACACCATGACATCATGGAGAGGACAGAAGCCAAAACACAGAGGACAAGGGGTGCATACAGATTAGATAGACGGGCGAATAATGAGCATTGGGTCAGTGCGAATAAGGAGGCAAGGTGGCATTGGCCGCGGAGCTGCTGTCCCCTGGCTGGGACGTGATGTGGGACACCGGCAGGATGACCTGGTTTGGCCTCATGGACTCCTCGTAGGTGGGTAAGTACTTGACCTCTTCGTAGCTGGGCAGCTGCAGGAAGAGCGGCGAGGAGATGATCCTGAGCTCATGCTCGGAGAGGTGGCGCACACTGTCTATGAGCGAGTCCTGCGAGCTGGTCTCGTTGAGGAGCCCCGGCCCGTTCTGCCCCCGCGGCTGCGGCCGGGTGTACCGGCGGGGGCTGGGGCAGATCATCCGCTGCAGAAAGTATCCGATGGCAAAGAGCACGAGGAGGATGAGCAGTCCGGACAGCTTGCGGACGAACCAGCCCACATTGTCCAGGAAAGTGTGGAAGGGCAGCTTGCAGCATTTGATCTCCGTGTGGCTGACGTTACCGAACACACAGCAGCCCTCCTTGTCTCCGCACAGCAGATCTCCGCAGCTCCAGCCAGCCTGGGAGTCGGGCAGTAGCAGCAGCGGCAGCAGCAGGGCTGCGATCACCAGGGAGCCCCCGGAGAAGCAGCGCACCATCCTCAGCAGCAGCAGCCCTCCGAGCAGGCACACTGCAGCAGGCACACTTTGGAAGTGTCACATCTTCACCAGTCTTTGGGGAGGGGAGATGAGGACTGGAAAGCTGCAGCCCCCTGCAATGGATCGCTGCTACTGCTGAGAGCCCTTCCTCAGGGTTTCTTGTCCCAGTGACCTTGGGCTCAGACGACTTGATCATCGTATGAATGCTGGTGTGTGGAGAGCAGCTTCAGATATCAAAGCCAACCCATCATCATCATCATCATCATCATCACTGGAAGCAGACCAGATTAGAGGGAAGCGACAATCAGATGACATCTCTCATTGAATCTGCTCTCTGCCTGCCAGCCCTGACACTCATGAGCTTTTCTGATGATGCTACTGAGGTGTGTTGACAATCAGCATGATCAATGCCAGGTCTATTATACATGTGAAGGATGATCAGGACTTGGATGGCACACTGGGATCATTTGATCCCTCTGTGATCTTTTCTGCCTGTTAATAAACAGCTGCCTGCCTGGCTATTTGTAACCTCTCTCTCTATATTTGCTTCTATTCTGCTTTTCTATGGTAGAGAAGCTCAGGTAATAGAGATTTTGCTATTGCACACTTTGTGATAACTAACCAGTAACAAGGACAGTGAGAATCTGTCATTTCTAGACAGGATCCTTTGCCATCAGAGCAATGCTGTTTCATGAATCACCAGGGGGGTTTTGTTTCATGGGGCTTCATCTATGTTCATTACCAGGTGAGCATTTATTTCATTGTAGAATCACATTGGCTGCTTGTCAGTCTGTGCAATCCATAGCTGTCTGATGGTACCTGCAGTCTGCCTTCTTCTGTAAATTGCTGCCTTGGTCCAGACTACAGCACTGAATACATGCAGCAGCTGCTGAATATTGATTGCAGAGGACCCCAAACCATTGGCAGTCATTATTGTTGCTGCATGTATGTGTCTGTTCTGTGCCACCCAGCCATAGCCTGTCTTTATCAGGAATTGTTTGGCTTCTTGGAGTATGCTGTGGCTGCAGGCTTATCACTCCCAATCCAATTTCACTGATCACTACCCTGTCAGCTCCAGTTGCGGCTTTTGCTGGTATTGCCCATCACCAGCCTGATGGCATCCTGTGCACAAATGTAATACAGAATTCTACCTTGTCTCCTAAATCCCCACCTCGTTATTAAAAACAGATGCAGTGTCAGGGGGACAATGTAACGTACCAATGTAACGTGTGACTCCATATTTCTACTATGATGTAATGCTGACCAAATGAAGCAACTTAACAGAAGAATTCCATTGTACAAGTGATACTTTGCTATCCCAATCATTGATTTCATTTTAGGTGACACAGCCAGAAGTATTGTGGAGCCAGATTTCATATCTCATTGTCCTGTCTATGAGACATGCCTTACCACACCAGAATCTTAATGTAGACCCGCACTTGTGATTAACATTGCCAATGAATAGCCACAATGACATGCTTGCAGATTTACTGGAAATAATTCATCATTCCACCTTCTATACCAGCCTTTCTCAACCAGGGTGCCTGGGCACCCTGGGGCGCTTTGAGGTTTCTTCAGGGGTGCCCTGGCAAAATCTCTAAAAATTGCCCAAAACTTGTATACAAGCCAGCGGGTGGAACAAGCCTGCCTTTTAGTTACACAAAGCCACAGGTTTTCATTGTGCGCCATGACAATCTTCTATCTGCTGGCTGACAACCAATGGCATCAGTTGATAAGGAGGTTGTCAGCTGCCTGCACAGCATCCTAGTTTGACCCTCCGCTGCGACTCTCTGCCAGTGCTGGGGTCACGTTCGCTCAGTGATGGAGAAAACTAAGAGAGAAGAGAAACATAGGCATACTAGTCAGTACCAGTGTGCAAAAGTGTATTTGATTTGGAAGAATAAATCACCTCTAATGTTGGGTGTCCTACCTGTGTGCATGTTGCTGCATTATAGAAAACTATTAGAACAGTTTTTCACATTTTAGAATGGGGTGCCACAAGACCAGGGGCGGACTGACCATTTGGAAACTCGGGCACTGCCCGAGGGCCCGGGGTCAGTAGGGGGCCCCATGAGATGCCCCTGGTACCTTTTTCATAGGCTTTTTTGAGTTTGGGCAAGGACACAGGGGCCCCATGATCCCCTATTGCCCAGGGGCCCCATGAGTTGTCAGTCCACCCCTGCACAAGACTGTCCATAATATTAAAGGGTGCCTCGGGACTGTCCATAATTTTAAAGGGTGCCTTGCCTGAAAAAAGGTTGAGAAACACTGTTCTTTACCATAAATATGCTTTGCAGATATTTCTGAATGTAAAGCATTTGCCTCTATTAAACCTTTTTTTTCTCCTATGAGATGAAATACTACTTGTGTGGTCTATTTATAAATGTTTTCACACAACAATCACCCAAGATTCACACATTTTCTATTTGGATTCACACGGGGAAATGGGAGACTCCTGGGTGAAACTTGCGTGAATCTTGGATGAAACAATTTATAGGAAGCCTCATATGTTTACTAGCCACTGCTCATTGACTTTGTTGACTGTCAGTTAGAACCTGACACTGGACTACACACATAGGGGGAATTTACTAAAATTGGTTCAACCAGAATCTGGTGCAGCTGTGCATAGTAACCAATCAGCTTCTAAGCTTTATGGTCAAAGCTTAAAGGATAAGTTCACCTTAAAAAAATAATAAATGCACATATTTTGGCAGATAAAAAAATGTGCATTTATTATTTTTACCCAAAGGAGCCTGTAAAGCATTGCACCAGCAATCAGTAGATCACTGATGCCATGCAGGTCTCCTGCAGACCTGTCAGAATATCTGCTGCCGTACAGGATGTACAAGCAAGCAGGTATTCTGAGAGGAAGTTTCAAAGAACTACCAAGGAGCTCCACAGCACCATGGTGGTTCATTGAAAACTACAAGCCAACAGCTGCTAAGGCTGCTGGGACTTGTAGGCATTAAATCACAGAACTCTGTTCTCAGCTGCATAAGAGCTGGGGGACAAGAAACAGCAGCACACTGATCTTTCCAGTTAATGGCTGTTCAGTAGGTAGGGGGGGGGGGGGGGGTTCAGAACAAGTCTGATCATTGGAGGAGAACAGGGTAAATTTCCAGCACAGCTAAAGAACTGATTATACTGTGTTCTCCTGCTTAGTGTGGTCAGTTTCCTAATAAGAAAGCCAGAGGGACTGGCAGAACACCATATTTTTCAAACAAAGGAAAACAATACAAAGAGAACAGGATACTTTTTCATACAAGTACATGTTAGAGCAGACACATAGTAGGAATATGAAATGTTGGGTTTACATATTCTGTGACAACATCTACCTTTTAATGCTGGGAAATGACTTTAGAACTTTGGAGCACTTGGGAGTAGGACTCTGAGCACCCCTACACAGAATGACAGCACAAGTCACACATAGCATCAATGACTGGGACATTACCTACATCAGAGAATCCAACTTCATGAGTATGTGCTCATATATTCAGTAGTAAGGAATAATCATACTTGTGGAAATAATGAGGTCAATGAGGTGTTGAACCCAAAACTGTGTGGAGCAAATGGATTTGTACCAGATGCAGTGCCACCCTCATTTCCCCCAAAATATGCAAATATGTAACAGTGACGGTCAGATTTAAATCCTATGTCTGTGTTAAGCAGCCAAAGAGGTACTCATTGAGAAAAGAAAACCAGTCCAGTTTAGGACACCTTGAGACAAAGCACCTTGAGACAAAGCAGATCAGAAAGGAAGGCAGAAACATCATAGACCATACTTGCAGAATCTGCAAATCCTCTTAATGAGAGCAGTAGTAAACCTATCATATTAGTCCAAAAACAGTACCAGATGGGGTGCTGCATTCAGCGTTTTATGAGGGTCACTGAAATTGTCACTGGGCACCCCTGGCCAGGGCTGTTTTATCGCACAGGCACACCTAGGCACAGCCCAGGGGCCCCAGGTGTATAGGGGGCCCCTGCAGCCCCCCCCCCAGCAGGGGAAATTGCATATGGAGAAAGCAGGTGATCAGTGGCAGACAGGGGAAATAACTGGAACAGATTTCCTTTGTGGTTCTCACAGCAGCAGCTGAAAACCGGCATCTCCTCCTTTCTTCCACCAGCTTTCAGCTGTAGCAAAGTGAGCCACAAAAGATCAGATCCAGTAATTTCCCCCACCACTGAACTGATTACCCTGTCCTGTCCGCTACTGCATTCCCCCACTGCCTGGGCCTCCCTGGGTGCCCCCACCCCCAGCGCTTTTGTCTTCCCTCCTCTCCTCTCCCTCCAGAAGCTACAGGCAGATCTTTAGGATAGAGCAAGGCAAGGGGCCTGTAAATATGTCATTTTCTGGCCCCGTCCTTTTCTAAATGAACACAGTGAGCGTTCAGTAAAGATCACGCACTGTGTTCATTCATAACTGAAGCCTAGTAAACTGTGTAATGCTTTAGTTTATGTATGAACAGGAGCCTCTGTCTCCTGTTCATTCAACTGCAGTGCTGCTGAGGGTGCAAAAAGGAAATGGGGAATATGTTTCCTCAGTCCCTTTTTCTGTCTCAAAAGTGAAACTTCAGGGGTCTGTTTAGACCCCTGATATCTCATCAAAGACCCTCCAACAGTGTTATGAAAAAAGGTAAATTATTTAAAAAATTGTACAAAAATAATAAGAAATTGTTAAAAAATTAGACTAAAATGCCAAGCCCAATATGTAGCATAATTTAGCCACACCCTCTGTTTGCCAGGTCACCATCTCCCTGGTAGGGGCCGCAGTACAGTACTTTACCCAGGGCCCCATGATGCCATCAAGGTGGCACTGCTCCCGTTTCCACCCCCCCCCCCCCCCCATCATCAGGGCCAAACAAACTCCCCCTTAATCAGGGCTTGAGAATTTTCACTGTGCTTAAATGGTTTTAAGAAGATACAAAATTGATTTGTACTGAGATGTACTGCTTGGAACAGTTTCAGGAGGGCAGGTTATGTCAGTGTTAGTGAACGCAGCA